TATGCAAATACATATGCCACACAAATGGGCACCTTGACAATAATACAAAATTTAAAACACACTTTATTTGTATAATAATTGCATTACATTTATTTTAGGAATTAAATTCAAGAAGGGTATTTAATTTGAAAACCACTTATAACTATACGAGATTGTGTATGACTGAAGTGACAGTTTCCCACCACACAGTGATAACAGAGTATGGCCATCCTAGTTGTTTTTTTTTTTTTTTTAATTACAAGAACAGTATAAAAATTAGACAGTTGTGAGATATTAAGTTTTAAGGGATTGACATACTTTTCTAACTCCTTTAGGTGTCATCAAATTATTTGGAATTTGTCTTATTTGTTTTTCTATTGTCTTGAAGAGACACTGTGACCAAGGCACCTTATAAAAGACTTGATTGAGGCTTACAATTCCAGAGGATGGGTGAGTCCATGACCATCCTGACAGGGAGTCAGCAGCCAGGTAGGCATGGTGCTGGAACAGAAGCTGAAAGCTTACATCTGATCCACAGGCACAAGGCAGAGAGACATAATTCAGATTGAAACCTCAAAGCCCAACCCGAGTGACATATGTCCTCTAACAAGGCCACACCTCCTAAGTCTTCTTAAATCCCCAAGTGGGGATCAAGTACCCAAACAAACAATGAACATATGGGAGCCTTTCTTGCTCAAACCACCATGTAACTTTTTAACTACTTTCTAAATGTGAGTTGGGTATTTGGATCAGAAGGTTGTAAATTAAGCCACTGAGAATATGTGCTTCTAGAATCCTTCATCAGTTTGGCAGCAGGAGCGATCCCTACGAGAAGCATTGATCCTGCTAAATTAGACACATGGATGAGCAAGTAATGAAGTCAAAGTCAAACATGCCATTTATACACATTGTCACAGTAAATGAAAATCTTAGGAAGAGGTCAAAGACTGACGGGAAAAGAATGGAATTATCCTGGGCACAAATGTCTAAGGATGAGGACTGAGGTTCAAACATCGATCTAGGACTAACTTCAGCCAAACATCAGCAGCAACAGTTACAAAGAGAAAAGAAATGCATGAATTCCTCTGGGGAATTACGAATTTTAGATTAAAAGTTAGAACATTTTTATTGATAAATACAATGGATTTGTGGACAGACATGTAAAATAAAATGCAGAACTTAATGAGATGCTTCAAGATGATCACGTTTTTGATAGTGAAATGAAGGCAACAAGCATGTGAGACCTTTGTCTTATAATCATTTTCCTTTTCTCACTTCCAAAAGCCACCTTGTTAATGACTTTTCTTATCATTGTGAACAATATCTGAAAAGACATGAAGGAGGATGAATTGATTTGAGCTAGTAGTTTGAGAGTACCTGACAGGAAGAGAATGGCAGGTTGTGGCCCCTGTCTCTGGCAAGGGTTGCATGTGGATGTGTGGGCTAATGAAACAGAGGACCTGGCTGGAAGAGGGGCAGAGGTATAAGCCTCAAAGCCCATCCTCCTGCAGCTATCTTCCTCCAGCGAGGCACCACCTCTTCAAGGCTCTACAGCCTCCCTGAAGAACCAGGGGAAGAGCAACTGTTCAAGCCCACAGGCTGTGGGTGACACATTGCATTCAAACCTGAACAGTGGCCATTATTCTGACATTAAGACAACCACTTCTGAGATCTCTCTTTAAACTTTCAACATTGAAGTTTACATTCATGAATTAGTAACTGTTCTGTCTGCTGTGACAACACTTTTGACATCTACTGATTAAGGAGCTAAGTGTTTATTGTGGTGCATGGGTTAAGAAAGAATACCATCCACCATAGTGGGACTGAGATGACAATAAGCAGACACACATTGCATCTGCAGCCTTGGAGCAGGGAGCAATGACTGTAGGTGCTCAACTTGCTTTCTCCTTTATGTATGTCCAGGACACCGACTTAAAGAATGGAGTTACCTTTATAGTGAGTCTTCCATCATCTCCATTGACACAATCTAGAAAAGCCATAGCAGAAACCCAGAGGTTTGTTTGCACAGTGACTCTAAATCCCATGAAGTTAAACTTAGTAATCAAAATCTCTATGCTGAACAAATGAATTTTGCTTGCTGAGATTTATATGGTACTTACATAGAATGGAGGTAAGACTGGGGGTGAGTCTTTTCTATTGTTGCTCAGTTCACTTTGGGGAATTAACCCACAAGATAACTTGGAGTGTAACTTCTCAAAAGTGTTTTTATCCTGTAGATATATTCTGATACACAAGCCCTTGCATTACCTCTCAATGGGACTGCTTGACCAAAAAATGCTTTCATTCCCTGTGGAATATGATAGCTTATTTTTCCTGATTCCTGCATGGTCAGCCTTTTAAATTTTAGGTGTTCTAATGTGATCTTTAACATTTGACTGATTGAGCACCTTTGTTTATACATTTCTATTCTAATCAGGGCCCCTTCTATTTCCTTACCAAGCCATTCTTAATACATTTTATATATAGGCCTAAATTAGACTTTTCATTACTCTAATAAAATACGAGAGAGAAACAATTTAAAAGAGGAAGGCTTTATTTTTGACTGATAGTTTCAAGTCATAGTTAGCAGGTTCCGACTGTTGGAGGAAGGAGGCTGAACATCATGGGAGCAGCACATGGTAGAGCAAAATAGTTCATTTCATATGAATGGGGGGAGAAGGGCACAGTAGTTACATTATTCAAAGACATGTCCCCGTTGATCTACTTTTCCCAAACAGGCTCCATCTCCTATTTCCATCATCTTTCAACAATGCCTTCAAGTTAATCTACTCACTGAGCCTGAGGTCTCCTGATCCAAACATGTCACCCAAACCATACCTTTGAATTCTGTTAAATGTGTGAATTATACTGGTGCAAACTATGTCTATACATTCAACACACACACACACGTATACTTTTTTTTTTACTTATTATTTTTCTTTTTTGAGACAAAATCATTCAGTGTAACCAGGATGGCCCCAAATTCCCAATCCTCCTGCCTCAGCCTTCTGAGTGCTGGGAGGATTACACGGATGATCCACCACCTCATCTGGCTGTACTATATTTTTTTCCTGAAGTCCTTTTGTTAATGTTTATACGGTTCACATTTTAAGTCTGTATTTATGTGGAAACCTGTGGAAGGGCTTTTTATTCTGTTCTGGTCATTAATTTATCCATCCCCTCACCACTGGAATACCATTGTAACTCTTAATTGCCCTAACTCATGACACTTGGGTGATATCCAGCTTCATTATTTTTTTAAGAGACCAAGAACTTCTTGGTTATCTTTCTCCTTTTTCACTTACATATATACCTTAGAACAAATCTTTCCTCCCTTGCTGCATCACCCTGTTCTGAGAGTCCAAGACATCAGCACCAACACTAGACAAATTTGTGAAGAACCGGGCCTGTAATAGCAGTGACACAGCCACGAACATAGCAGAACCTTTGGTTATTTTGCTTTTTGATTTATTTCAAAGTGTTTTATAGCTCTCTCTGTAGACCTGGCACACTTTAATTTCATGATTTATTGCAAGCCATATTCTCTTAAAACTTAAAATTTTGTTCATTACTAATCTATTAAAGCACAACTGAGTTTCACTTTGTATTGAGAATGAAAGAAAAAGGTCATACCTACGTTGATTTTAAAAGGCTGACTAATTAGGGACCTACACCTGTGATCCTAGCACTGGCAAGGATGAGGCAGGAAAACCAGGAGTTCAAGGGCAGGCTGCATTATATAAGGAGTGCACACACTGCGCTACAAAACAAAAAGACACAGGCACACTTTGTGATAAGGTGTAAAAACCAAATAATCTTTTCCCCTATCATTAGGGTCCTAACTAGCCACAAATTGCCTAGCTCTCTGTTGGGCATAACATCTTGTTGTCTATCAGGTAAAACCTTAGGAATGCATTATTAGCAGATCACTAACTTCCATCAACCAAAAAGAAAGGATGTCATGAACTATTCTTAGTTAAAGCCCATGGAAGAATTATCCCCTGCTTTGCTCTAACCCACCAATCTCCTATTGCCCCTAAGAAAGCGCCTGAGAAATGCTTCCTTTCTGTTTTGTTCTGTGACTGTTAAAGCTTGTGTAAATACTTTTATGTTGAAACATGTTTTCCAGAGCAATCTGAGTCAAGGCTCCCTAGCCATAATTATCATGATAATTATTTTGTTCGAATTAAACGCAGTCTTATTCTCATTGAGACGATAGTTTTTTTTCCACGTACAATTTCCAGTGTTAGTTTATTAAATTAGTAAGTTTTCCTACATTTGGATTTTTCTGTGCACACAACGCATCTATGAGCTGTCATTTTTATTCCCTCCAACATCATATCCTTTATTATCCTTTATTTTCTCAAATTATCAAATAAAATGTCATCATATGAATCTTGGAAATATATATTTTAAGTTGTGTTTTAGTTAAGGTTTCTATTGCTGTAAAGAAACACCATGACCAAAACGGAAGGGGAGGAAAGAGTTTATTTATTTGGCTTGTACTTCAGCATTGCGGTTCATCACTGAAGGAAGTCAGGACAGGAACCCAAACAGGTCAGGAACCCAAATGGGAGCTGTTTACTAGTTGCTCAGCCCATCTTATATAACCCAGGACCACACACAAAAAAAGGGCAGTCCCTTCACTATGAGAAAATGCCTTACAGCTAGATCTCATCAAGACATTTCCTCAACTGATGTTCCTTCCTCTGATGATTAGCTTCTGTCAGGCTGACACACTAAACCAGACAATGTATGTTGTAAATTCAGTAAGAATATGCTATTAAGTTGGGTCTCTTCACTGGCTCATATTCCCCCCAACCACTTGCCCAGAGAAGACTTCTGCAATTCCTCCTAAACCGGATGCAGCTGAAAGTTGACCTTCCACAGAGAAAGCTGCTTAGCTGGAACTGCCTTGGCCGCTAGCACTCAAGGTAACCTCCGAAACCCCTCCCCTCAACCCGATGCAGCCAATCACCGTCAGGTTCGTAACCCTGCCCCTGGACAGACGTAGCCAATCAGCGGCCGCGTCTTTTGCGCGCCCTGCTTGCAAAGATGGCGGTGTCTGTTGGCGCGCAGGCTGTTTGCAGAGCCGTTTCACAGCTCCCGGGCAGCAAAATGTGAATGCGGCTGGAGGAGGGCGCCACCGGAATGAGTCGGCGAAGGAAGCATGCGGGCAGCCCTGCCAGGAGGAGCACGCCGCGCAGGGCGGCTGCCGAGGACTGCGGCCCGGCGCTGGAGACGGAGGCCCGCTGGTCCAGGGCGCCCCGCGACTCCCGGCTCTGCAGGGCGGGAGCGCGGCCTTTGCGGCGGCAGCAGCGCCAGGAGGCGGCTGACGGCGGGTGGAGCCCGGGAGGTGAGGGGACGGCGGGCGGGGAGCGCGGCCCCGGGGTGGCCGGTGGTGAGGAGGGGGCGGGGAGCGCAGCCCGGCCGTAGGCGGCGGCGGGAGCCTTGGGCTGCAGAGCGTTGTCCCCTGAACTGGCCTTGGCTGTTTTCTGGTTGACTCTGGTTCTGGGCGGGGCCTGTGCCTTGAACAACCTCGGGCAATTGGGCAACTAAGCTTTATTTGTTTATCTTTTTATTTATTTCTGCATTGTTTTGCTAAAGGGTCACCTCAAAGCTGTTTCCTCCCGGAACTTGCTAGGAATAACATCCGGTTAGAATAGCAAACCAATGGCGCGTTCCTTTTTGATAACTTTTGGAGTTAGATTTTTTTGAAGATTATTAAGCAAATAGGTAGCCAACTCATAATCTTTCTGGGAGTGTCTTCTTAAATTACAACTTCTGTTAACCATGCCTGCCTCTGCTATGACAAAACAAATCTGAGAAAGGAAATAAAATCGTAAAAACTTAAGTTATTCTAGACAAAAACTTCTCTAGACACTAGGAGCAAATCACTGTTTTGGGGAGTAGTTCATTAGAGTATAAAATTGGAGTAAAGTTGATAGGAGCTTAAAAGAGTTGAGGGCTTCTGTTTGGGTACATTTTGAGGTTTGCAATATACCTAACAGTAAAGCTTGTAAGGTTAGTAACTCAGTGACCAGGTGCTATCATTCTTGGGCCTATGGCTTTTTTTTTGGGGGGGGGGGACATTTCTATTATGGTTAAAGTCTTTAAGAGACAAGATTTATATTGGACATAAAAATTAATTTAACCTGCTATTTGACTTTGGCTTTTGTGAAGTTATGCTTAAAATGTGACAGTTGTCATTCTATACAGGAAAGTATGAGACACCAACGAGAGTTCTGAGAACAGACGTATTGTCCTGTGCCTTCAGTTCTCCGAATGATCCAGATGGACAGAACGATATCTTCTGGGATCAGAATTCTCCCATGACCAAACAGTTAGGTAATCTGTTAAGATTTTTATGTGGTTAAATGTTTGCTAAAGGATTAGTGTTTGTAAAATTTTAGTGGGGTAACATCGGAAACTTTAATACAGTGAGAATCTTTCTCTCTAATTTGCACTTTGGTGCAGAGTGATTTAAGTTGCATCAGTTACAGTCATTTTCTAAAAATAAGGACTGATTTTAAAATTGTTGGCCTAAGATTTATGCAAATATCTGTTTCTGTAGGTAAGGGAAGAAAGAAGCATATTTCCAGTGCATACACTGATGAGATTTCACATATTGTCAATCGTATTGCTCCTCAGGTAAAGACAGCAAGTTTCATGGTTTATGAAACATTGCATGCTTGTCTCCTCTCATATTCAAAATAATGTATTTAGAGCAACAAAGGTTACAGTTAGCCTTTCTATTTCTGAGTGCATGTCTTGAGTAATGGTACAAATTATAGAATGAACACCCAAATCTACAGCTTCTGAAGTTTCATACATTTTTTCCCTGGTACCTCAGCTCAAACCCAAGGACTTCTGCTAGTCAAGTGCTCTTATCATGATCTATGCCACCAGCCCACCCCATATACTTTAAGTCATCTCTAGGTTATGTATTCCTTAAACAAAATAGTTATTTGTTATGCAGTACTGTTGAGGGAATATTAAAAAGAAAATGTCTGTATATGTCCCATATGTTTAGTCTGTTGTTGGTTAGATGTGGAACCTGCAGATACAAGTAGTTATTTTGTTTTAATTCTCTTGGAGTAGGATTTGACCAATTGTGTATTTTTCTTTAATGTATTTGCCAGCATGCTGCATTTTCCACATTGTATTTTGAATAAGTTGTATAATAGGTCAAGCAATGTAAATTTCAGTTTTTAGTTGTGTGTGTTGACTGTCTATAGTACATATTTCTCCTATTGCAGTTGCTCTTACTAGTTTTCAGTGATTTATAAAATCACCAAGACACAGTTTAAAACTAGAGAGATCTCTCAGTTTAGATAGAGGCCTCATGCAACCTTTTCTGTGTGACCTGACATCAACTGTTCTGAGTTTCTTTTCTTTCTTTTCCTTACTTAAATAGTTTCTTCTTACATTTTTTAAAAGTATGTGCGTACACGTGTATATGCACATGCATGTGCTCTCATATACATGCGCATATGTGCATGTGTGTGCATGCCCACAGCATGTGTGGAGGTCAGAGGACAACTTGCAGGAGTTAGTTCTCCTTCCACTCTCTTGGTATGATTCATGATATCAATGCTTAATTTCATGAAGTACGTTTATACTATAATATTACTACTTTGTAGGTTAACAGTAAATCATTAACTAAATCAGAGAAGCACAGAAAATAATAGGTTTGGGCTGACCAGACTGGTGATAAAATGTTGAGTGTACTGTTGGTGCCTTCACTAAATGGGCTGGAAATAGCGTCTCTTGTGAAGAAATGGCTACTTCACACGAGTAGTAGCTTGAGTCGCTGAACACTACATTGGAATTAGTTTATTCAATCATCTACTGAGTATTCTCAAAGCAGGTTGACTGTTGGCAGCATTAAGATCTTTTGAGAAGTGTGATACTCATAATTACAAATATTTGAGGTTTTCTTAGTTATTCTCAAATCCTTTCTTTTCCTCCTAATGGTTTTAGATTTCAGTTTTTAAGATGTGCACTTGCATATTCGACAGTCATCCCATTTTCACTAGTGATAACATACCTTGTATTTAAGGTGATATATCTTTCTTCATTTCTATAACTATACAGTGTGCTCATTAAGATCAGTTGAAGGACTTGACAACTTGTATGGCACCAAGGATTTTCTTAGGAACCTGTACATTTAAAAGAAGCTTTTACAAGTAGTACATAAATATATAGAGGATTCTTGGTATATAAACTTGAGTGGGCATGTACCTTTGTCATGACTTTTTGAAACTTTGTATAAATTTAATTTACTTGTAAGTGGACAGATTCCATAATTAAATCATTAAGAATGTTACTTGAAAGAGTGTTGTTAAAACAAATGGGAAAATATCTGTCTGTCAAATGAACTGACATTATTATTTTGCAAACCTAAAGTTAAGTAAAGTTGGGTGTGCGTTAAGAAAACTACTTGCTGATCCATTTCCAAATTATAGAAATGTTTTCACCAAAACCTTCAAGTAAGTAAACATAAAGTGGCATTTCCTTTTTTAAAAGTTTTGTCTTTCATGATGTGTACATGCAGGCACACACTTTGCAACAATCAGAGGACAACTTGCTTTTTTTTTACTCTTTGAGCCATCTCCCTGGCCCAGTGTGATTACATACTCACAATGATAAATTGTAAGCTCTAATTAGAATAACTTGTAGTCTAGTAATAAGGCCATTTTTAAACCTAGTCTGATCTTGTAACAGTTCTCAGGCTTCCTAGTGCTGCAACCCTTTAAAATAGTTCCTTATGTTGTGGTGACTTTCACCCCTAAATTTATCTTTGTAGCTACTTCATAACTGTAATTTTACTACTCCTATGAAACATAAATGTTTTTGGAGATAGAGGTTTGCCAAAGGTTACAATACACAGGTTGAGAACTGCTGCTTTATAATAATCCTCATTCTGTAACTGTCTTTGTGATTAAGGAACTGAAAATTACAGGCAAAAAGATCCTACTTGAAGTTTCTCTGTTTCCCCATTCTTCGCTTTAGCCTTGACTTTGCTATATAAAATCTGTAGTCAGTTTTGACATTACTCTGTCTGTGCTCAATTTAAGTCAAGGCAGAGCTCTCAGTTCTTAAAGTGACGATAAGAAAAAAAAAAATGGAGAATTAGCACTACAGAAAGAATTCTGAATATATTCTTATTTTCTGTTCTGATGGTTGTACTTATTTTTTTTTTTTTTTTTTTTTTGAGTATTTTACAACTGAAATGTTACTTTCCTTTTATAAAATGTTCCTTTATGTGTATATAACACCAGAATGCACTTGATAGGGAATGTAGATCAAACCCAGGTTGTTATAAATGTTAATTGAGTATTTATTAGAGCTTGAATATTTCTCTTTACTTGTGGGAGTATATATACAGCCAGTGATATCACCAGAATTCTTTCTCTTACCCTTGATCTGAACCTCTCCTTTTTCTTGGGGAAGGGGAATTGGTCACTTACGGTGCTCTTATGTTCTTTTTTCTTCCCTATTCCCAAGGACGAGAAGCCAGTGACAAACTCCATGCTGGGTGTGTGGATTGGTGACACTGCTATTCCTTGTACTCCTAGCATAGCAAAAGAAAAATCAAGAGTGAAAATCGGCTTCACAAAGTGAGTTCAGACTGCACCTTCTTATAATTCAGCGAGGCAGATATTCTTACTAACATTGTAGGTTTTGGAATTAACTGAAATAGTAAATATTTTTGTTTTGATATGTAAAATTCTGTAGTTAAAGACATGCTTTTCTGAGAGTTAAAAATTTTGATGTTTTTTGTCACATCAAAATATACAAAATGATAATTGAGTAATTCTTAACTTTTTAATTAAAATGTTTCATTGTTGCTTTAATAGGTCAAAAACACAAAGTCGAGAAAAAGAACTTATGAAATTGGCTAAGCAGTTTGATAAAAATATGGAAGGACTTGACGTGATTCAAGAGCAAGATGGGAGGAATCATGATTTTTTCCAGACAGCTTCAGAAGTGGGACATTTACACAGTCGTAAAGATTCTGTACAGATGGAAACAAATGATAAAGTTCCTGAAATCAGTTGTGCTCTAGTAAACAAGCAAGTGGAAGGAAACACCAGGATATCTATGGCAAAGGAGCAAGACAGCAATCAGAAACCCTTTGACCATAATGTTGAAGCAGCCCTTAATGCTATTTTTGATGGCTCCACTCAGATGTGTAGTGGACAGCTAAGCCAAGATCTGTCAGATGCATTTTTGAAGAATAGTAAAAGTACTTTTGTAAAGAAAAGTAGCTTAATAGAAGAGGAAATCATTACTAGTGAAACTCTGCTCACTGAAAACCTGCCAAATAAAACTCCAATATCACCTTCCCCTCAGGTAGAGACTGCCTTACTGCAAAAATCATGTGTGACTCCCTGTGCTAAGAAGCCAGGAGCATCTAATACACATCCTGATGGGTTGACTGCTAGTGATTTTGAGGATGACTGGGAGAGCTTACTAGGCAATGAACTTTTCCTAATGGAGAATGCTGAAATGCTTGAACTCTCTCCTTCCACAACTGCCCAAGTTACTGGTCAGAAGGCGATTTGTACTGTTATTGCTAAAAATGATACAATCACTTCAGGAGCAAATATGCATCTAGGTGGAAAGTTAAGAGACTCAAAAGTAACTTTGGATCATCCTTCAAAGAAATGTAACAGAGAACTAAGAAATTCTGGAAGTTATACATTTTTATCACATCTAAGTGATGATGAGTCAAGCAAGTTAACATTCACTGGAAAAAAAGTGAGGGTTGAGAAACCTTTCAATAACATTAAAGATGAAGATTGTGTTGATGTTGCTAATCTTAACAGAGAAAAAGAAGATAGTCGTAGTAAGTGTACGTTTAATGTGCGTGCTTGTGACAATTCTGGTTCACATACAAGATACCCTAATGAACAAAAGTATGGATTCAGTGTAAATACGCCTTTGAAAGCATTTGTTGACACTGCCCCCCGTGGTTCTGTATTCTTGGACAAAGAAAACAGTATTTGTAACATAAATCAGACTAATGGATTGAAGTTCAGTTCTACCCTTGATGACTGGAATGATCCCTTGGTTGCCAGTGAAATGGTTAAAGCATGCAGTGAATTAGAGACAACCTGGGAAGCAGATGACGTAGATGATGATTTGTTATATCAGGCATGTGATGACATTGAAAGACTAACTCAGCAAGAGAACAAGCTCAGCAAGCAGTCAGAAAGTGTAAATACCACTTCTAGACAGGGATCCAGAAATATCTGTACTGCATCTAAACAAGGAAGCCAGTCAGTGCCTTCTAAACATTGGAACTTTGTCAGTTTGTCAGTGCCGCCATCCTTAACAGGTAACTCCCAGATACATAAATCAGTGAAAGTGGAGAAGAGAGACCCATGCGGAGATGACCCCAATATTTTGGATGCTACAACAAATTTGTCTGTGTGCTCTGGGAATTCATTTGATAATCAACGTGTACCAATACAGGTGAATGGCTCAAAGTATGTCCTTGCAGGAAATTCAAGTTTGAGTGTTAGTTTGGGTCGAGTGAGCACAGAAATTGTTACAGATACGAAGTTCAGTACTCATCAACTATCTCACAACACCTTATCAGATAAAACTCAGAATGACAACAAAACATTGAGGTTTTCAAAATATACATTTAAGACCAAAAATCCTCAGGTTCTTTGCCAGTTAAATCAAAATTGTATAGCAGGAAATACGCCTGCTAGGAAAATCTTTCAGGATTTAGAAAAAAGGGGGACTGTCAATTCGTTGCTTGCGGCTAATCCACAGCAATCTTCAATAAAATATTCTGAGTCTTTGAGGTCATCTTCTAAAGGTATGTATGAAATAGCTGTCTTTGAAAAGTATTAATGTCCATTACTTGTTTTGACTAAAAGGTATAACTAGTATCTGATATCAAATTCAGTGCAAGTTTTGACAAAATTAATAGGTTGATGCAACCTTTTTAAAATTGTTCCATTTCATCTTTTCTAATTGTTTTTTATATTATTCCTTCAATAAATTCCATTAATCACACCTCAGAACATTGTATCTTGAAACTGTCCACCTTACATATAATATTGCTACCATCCTAAATTTTATGTCCCCATTTATATTCTAATCTTCAAAAAAAGCAAAATAGACTTTTAAAACCACATGAGAAAACATTTGTATATATAAGGTAATCTTCAGTGAATGACTCATATTTCAAATAAAATCTAAAGCTTAAACTAATCTGAAAAGTCCTGAATTATCTTTCCTTTACCTGCCTCGCGTTCTAAGAATAAATAAATAATAAGTTGGAGTAATTATTTTATTTGATAGTACCACTTACAAGTTTTGTATATGTCAAGAAACTTTAAATCAGCTTATGTTGTACAAAGTGATGTTCAGTTATGACTTTGTGTGTGTGTGTATCTGTGATATTTCAAGACAGGATTGCTTTGTGTCACTTTGGAGCCTGTTCTGGAACTTGCTCTGGACCAGGCTGGTCTCAACTCACAGAGGTCCACCTGTCTCTGCCTTCCAAGTGCTGGGATTAAAGGTGTGCATCCCCACCACCTGTCACCTGTTTATAACATCACTTTATCATAGTTGTTGCCTCCAATTACTCCTCTTCCTAAATAGTCATACTTCATGTCATTTTGTTGTTGTTACATTCTTTAATCATTCATTGATACACAATAAGGTTGGTCATATGACTTGGCTATTTTCAATGCATATTTCTATAATAAACATGGTATACAAGTATGTGTATCTATTGTAAGTTCATTTTGATTCCTTCATGCCAACAATAGTGTAACTAGTCTTAGCTTTTTGAGGACTCTATACTGATTGCCCTAGTGATTACACCAATATATACATAGATAGGTATGTAATTTCCCCCCATCAACAGAGTATAAAATTTCCTCCTATCTCCACACATTTGCCAATATGTGTTGTCTTTCCCCACCTTGATAACCATTCTAATTGAAGTGAGCTCAAATTCAAGCATAGCTTTGATAGTTCCCTCATGGTTAAAGATGTTGAACTTGTTTTTTTAATGTATGAATTTGTTGAATTGTACTTGTTTTGGGATTCTTATTCAATTTGCCATTTGTTCTCTGGGTCATCTGGGTTTTTCTTGGTTTTTAGTTGTTGAACCCATTATATTTTTTGAATATTAGCCCCTGTGTAAGTAAGTACCTGACAAAGATATTCCCCATTATCTAAGTTTTGTCTTTACTGTGGTTACTATTTACTCTGTTATATAAATATTTTATAGTTTGATGCAGTCCTTTTTGCGAATGCTAGGTATTTTTTCCACTGAGTTGTTGAGATTCTTTCCAGAAACTCCTCCCTGACCCTGTATTTTGAAGAGTCGTACCTGATTTCCAGTAGCTCAAAAGTTCAGATCTTACTTTAATACCTTTGATCCATAATAGTTTGGTTTTTTATTTTTTTTTAAAAAAAAAGGTAGGGGGAGACATTACATGTTGATATCCTAATTTTTAAGCACCATTTATTAAAGAAAAATAAGTCATCTTGAATGTAAGTTTTTAGGCCCTTTGTAGAGAATAAGCTGCTTGGGTCTGAGTCCTCCTGATTTTTTTTTTTTTTTTTTTTTTTTTTTGAGTGACCTATTTTTCCCATATAGATGTGATATCACTCTTTCATGAATCTGATAGGAGAAGAAATTATTCCTTCCCTCCTCTCTCTTTGTGGGGCAGTGTTTATTAAGACTTAACAATATAACTTGTGTTTTGGAGGAAATATAATGGGTTGCTAAAAGAATTTCTGTAGTGGTTGAATTGTATATTCTATATTTGTCCTTCATTTGGTCTGTGGAATAGGTAAGTCAGTGTTACTTGTTTTTCTGCTTGAATGACCTGTCTGACAAAAGTGGGATATTATGATACTAAAATTATCCTTTGTTGCTGACTAGATATCTTTGTCCTATTATTAAGTTGACTTGTTAACAAAGATGATGGGTGCTCATATGCTACAGCACAAGTGTGGGGGTCAGAGGAAACTTCAAGGAGTCAGTTCTCTCTTCTGCCATGTTTGGTGATCAAACTCAGGCTTTCAGCCTTGCTGGCAAGCACCTTCTCAGTCTCTGTTTACCACGTAGGTCCAGCTTTTCAACTCTTGTCATGAAGTGTAGCCTTTTTACCCACTGAGCCATCTTGTGGACCCCAAGTTCTTGCTTGTGTTGTTTTAATTTGGATTTTAAGATAGAGTTTTCTGTGGTTAACACTGTCCTGGAAGTCACTGTGCATCCTCAGGCTGAACTGAAAATTTCAGGCCTTTGGTTTTAGTCTCCTTGAGTGTTGGGATTACTGTCACACCCAATCTTCACCATTGTCTTCTGATAAATTTTTCCTGTATTAAAACACAGTGAGCTGTTTATGCCCTCTCAGTATGGCTTTGTTTGGGCTTTCAAATTCATTTTGTCCTTGCAATTTCATTCTATGTGTGTTAGCTCCTGAGATCCAGCAAATACTTAGATCCTATTCTATAGTCTGTTCTGAAGTCTGTTTCTTCTAATTGGAGAGTCACAACTGTTAACATTTGGTGGGATTGTTCCACAGTATGAAATTATTTCTTTCTTCATCTTAAAGATTTTCTGTGTACAACTGCTTGAATCCTTCCTAAAATTCACTTCTTTTTTAGCTCTTCTATTAAAATTCGTCACTTCTAAAACTTATTCTTTCTAGAGCTCTTGTACGTGTTCATTTTTTCTTCATCTATGCATAATATATTCCTTTGGTATAATGATTCTCAACCTGTGGGTCACAGCCCCTTTGGGGGTTCAAAGACCCTTTCACGGGTCACCTAAGGCCATTGGAAAACACAGGTATTTTTACATTACAATGCACAACATTAGCAAAATTGCAGTTATGAAATAGCAACAAGAAAAGTTATGGCTGGGGAGTCACCACAACATGGGGAGCTATATTTAATGGTCACAGCATTAGGAAGATTGAAAACTGCTGGTTTGATATCATCTGCAGTGATGACATAGTGGTCATAAATTGTTTTAGTTTATCATTGAAGATAAAGTTATCAAAGGATAACTTAGCTATGTATGTGTGTATAAGTAATGGTTGATGAGTAATTTTTGTTGTTAAAATATAGCAGACATGCTGTGTCCTGATTTTTTTTATTTATTTTTCTGAGTGGTCTTTTGTTATAGCAAAGTGGTCTTTTTTCTGGTAGGTTTATATCTTTGCATGTAACTTGCTACTTCTACTAGCTTTCAGTATTTCCCTAGATTTTGGACATTTATGCCTTTCCTTTATTGAATGGACTTTAAGTGCTTTTAGTCCCACTCTTCAACTACAAATGCTTTGCTATTTCTTTGAGGTATTACATGTTGCAATCATGTTTAATTGCTGTTGGAATATACTTCCTGAGAAATTATTCCTCAACTTTATCTTCAAGTCCTTGTGTTTTTTGTCTTTTAAGTACTTTCTATGCATATAAAAAGATATGTTTCTGTACCTGTTGAGTTATTTTAATAGAGAGTTGGATGATACATGCTTAATTTTTGCATTTCCTTAATAAATTATAACTTCTAATAGTATCTATAGGTTTCCTTTAGTCTGTTTAGTGTCTAGGTAGTGTTTGTTAAATTATATGTTTGTTCAAGTTAAGTAAGTATTGTTTTTATATTGATGGAAGCTTGGGTTTGTTTTTTTTGCAATTAGATAGCACAGTAGGAATTCTATACAAATTTCTCAACCTTGTGTAATTAATTGTATCTTTTCATTCCTGACAATGTGTATAAGACAGTGTTGTGAAATTTGACAAATACCACCAGATTTCCTTTCAAAATGCTAGACAAATTTTGAAACAATGAGTCTTTTTTTTCCATGTTACAGCCCACTATGTCCTGAAATGTTAAGTAAAAATTGATGTCAGTCTATTATTGTTATAAATATTATGTTTATTTTAAAAGTAAATATACTATAGCTATTTGGGTAAGGTTTCTGAAATAAATTTATTGCATATACTTTTAATTCCAGTAAAGACTTAATCCTTGTTTGCATTTTTTGTAAAGATATTATTTGCCTTTCATCCTAGCAATTTTTCTTTTAGATTTGTTGATACTGTTTAGTCTTCCTAACTAATATTGGCCTTACTAGTGTTTGTATTGTTTGTACTCACTCTCCCTTTGATATGTCACAACCTAGTCTTCAAGGAATATCCTTGAAATAAAACCCACGTAACTGTTTGTGGCTTAAGGCCAGAGTTAGTAAATTTGCAGCCTTTTTTATACACTGGTGCATTAAAAATATTTAAAAATTTTTAAATGGTTTTTAAAAATATAAATGAGGAAATAATATCGATTTGAAAATGTGAATCATATGAATACATAAAGTTCATTCAGACATCTGATTTGTTTACATATTATACACGACCTGTTTTTGTAAAATGAGTAGAGTTGAACAGTTGTAATAACATATTGCTATCAAAAGTTAACCTTTTTCGATCCTATGGAGAATAACAATTGCTAAACCTTATGACTTAAAGTAAAGTAAAAAAAAAATTAAGACACTTGGATGCTTAGTACTGTGCAGCAGTTTGACTTTGTAAATATATGAATGAGAGAGAATGAATGAATTAGAAGAAAGGCTGATGTGGAGGCATTTGGCTGTCCTTATTTTATAGTGTTATTTTATACATTTGAAATTGTTTTCCATATTATCAAACTTTTAAAAGATGGCTGTATTCTTTTATACCTTTGTGGATTAACTTGTTTTTTATAAAATATATTTTGGTATTTCTCTGGGATGGTAAATAGCTAAAGTCTGGCTTAGGAAATGACAGGCACCAGAGTTATCTGAAGAGTTGGTTTGAAATAATCTTTTATCCTTTCCTATTTCTGAAGTAAGTACATGATATTTTGAGTCTCCTTTCTTCAGCAAGAGGAATATGTGTAAAAAGTTACAAATGTCCAGTCTTGCAGGGGTCCCTGCAATAATTATTAACTCAATCCCATGTGTGCAGTAATGTTTAAGATATGACTACATTGAAACTCTTTGTAAAGTGCATGTGACATTCATAAAGATGGGTTCTATAGATAACTACATATGGCATTTCCCTAAAAATAGATTGCCAAGTTCATGCTAAGGTTTTGAGCCAAACAGTAGCTGTTACCATGTCAGCTCCATCTTCTGAGCAGGTAACAAGTATGCATACCTTCCTTTGAAGGAACAACCCCGGTGTAGTTAACATTCCTGCTTCTCCCAGTGCTTGTTTGTGAGCAAATGGGCATCTGTGCCTCTCATACAGTTTGATGTGAGTGATTTCATTTAGTCACTCATATCACTCTTATCTTTTTCTGATAACTGAAATGTAAACTTTGTGACCATTTTAATGAGAAAAGTACCTGTTACTATTCTATTCAGTTTCCCTTCATAGTTTTTTGTTATCCCTTCCTTTGCTTTCCCTTCTTCTTGTTTTGTTAAGACTGTCTTGTGTAGCACAAGATGGCCTTGAATTCAGTGTTCACTGGGTCTCCCTCCATCTCCAGACAGCTGGCATTGCAACCATGACACACCACTCTCAGCTGTATCTGAAGGAATGATAGCTTAATTTATAGTGTTTTTACTGTCAATGTTTGTATCACTTAAAATCTGATGTTTAAAGATTTATATAGTCATAGTATAGATGGTCACACTGTTTGCTAAGTCTTCAAAAACCAGCTTTTAATCAACTTAAAGTTTTTATTGGAATGTGGGTATGAGCAGGGACTTGGCATCCTCCTGATATAGAACATTCTATTATGTGTGTACATGTGATTGTGTATGTAATGGTTGTATTAATAGTCAAACCAGTGTGATGAAACGGCAAAAGTTATATCATAATCAGGATGACTGATACATTGTAAGATTAATCCCTGTGCTTTGTTTAATTTTTAGATGAAGAAGAGAGGAATAGAAAGTATTCTCCTGAGGAAATTCAACAAAAAAGGCAGGAAGCACTGGTTCGAAGACAGGCAAAAGCACTGGCTTTGCCTCCTGCACATCCAGCTCCCATTTCACTTCTGTGATGAAATTTGACTTAGACGGTTTCATATTAATAACTATCTGTGATAGGACTTTCGTTCTTGATTTCTCTGTGAGAAATTTAATGCTGAATTATAAAGCATGGGCTTCTTTATTATTTAATAAATCAGTGTTTACAATGGAAAATGAAACTTTCTTGGAGATGTATGTGAATTATGTATATGTTTTGGAAAAGTTAATAGTTATGTATATACAGAGGGAAGTACTTGTCTTTATTACATGTGATAGCAGCTGAGCATCAAAAATAGACAGCTGTAAAGCTTCTAACAGATTAAAATGACTAAACAATGACTTAGGTGTGTAGTATCATTTTCTGTTACTTAATGCTTTTTACACATTGACAATTTTTAATTACTATTTCATATTGCTGGTGGTCTTGCTAAAAAGTAAAGAACTTTTTTTTTAATTACTGTTTTCAGTAATTAAAGAAATAGGTTTAAATCTTAACTTTTCTAAAGGTGATCCAATTTGAAAACATTTCACTGTTAAGAAAAAACACAGACTGGCATTAATTCTGGTGTAGCCACACACATACAGACACACAAATAGGAATAGCTAAGTAATAAATATCGTTAACATTTAGAATCAGCAGAAATACCCATCTGATCTAGCTTCTTTATCTTATAGGTTAGAACAATTCAAGCTGTTCTTTTTCTTTTTGTGCATATATGTATTTGAGTCAGAGGCTTGCTATATGGCTCAGGCTGGCCTTGAACTCTCTCTGTTACCCAGATGGCTGCAAACTAACAGTGAATCTCCTGCCACAGACTCCTCAGTGCTATGAGAACAGGTATCTGCCAGTGTGTCCTAACTAACACATAATGTTACTTTCAAAGTCAGAGACAAATTAAACCTGTGTTTATGTTAGTACTGATTTTTCAGAACATCTAAACAGTTACATAATTTGCTTTAGTCTATTAGTATTTAAAATAATTTGAAGGAGCATTAACACTAAAATATATTCTAAACCATCTTAAGGACTGCTTATTAAAATGTGTGTACATTCTTTATTTTAAAGAGGCAAAGTCAAACTTCCTATTCTTAGTCGTTTTATTATTGTAATTTTCCTTCTAATTATTAACTTCACTTTTTTTTCCTCTGTGTCATACCTGCCCCTTTTTGTCTTGTAAAAAATGAGCCAGTAACATAAGCCTTAACTAGAGAGGAGGGTATATGGCAGTAAGGATGCTTGTATTTTTCTAAATGACTTTTGGGAGACATGAAGAAAAGCACATCTATGAAACACCCTTCTTGTGTTCACTACTGTTCAGGTATCTTTGAGCTGTGACAATCTGGTAGTTATTAAGTATGTGTCATCTTTCAGATGTTATTTATATATATTAAGTACATTTTAGCTGTTCTGTATTATTTACCAAAGAGTATATTATGCAGACCTAAATAAATGCTGCAAGTTTTTATGTAAGAAAGTGAGGAGACTGCTTTTCTAGCAAGCCTTCAGTCTGTTCTAAGTTTCTCTCCCTCTGCCCCCCCCCCCCCCAGTTCTGTTTTTCTGTGGAGTGATTTTAAGTCATTCTGCCCATCCTTTTACACTGGCCTAGTGCTTTGGAACTCATAACTGTCTTCACTAGAATTCATTTCTTTTAAGTGATTTCTTTATCATTAATAGAAACTTTGTAAAAGCGCCCCTAGATGGTGGATGTTAGTCCAGTAGGCTACCACTCTACTGTCTTCATTCTTTAAATGCTCTTGGAAGTACTAGCATGTGAAGGGCTGCCTACTTTGCATGGGTTGGCACTTGTCCAGTCTCAAGGGACCTTGTCTACAAGAGTCAAAGAGGCAGCTGGTAGGCCTGGAAGCAGTATTCTATTGCAACTTCTTTTCATGTTTTGCTTCATGGAAAGTTTAATTCAGCAAGACCATTATTAAAGAGAAGAAAGAACCTGTTGCAGAGTTTAGATAGATAGCTGACTACAAGAACATTTGGGTTAGTTATTGCAGAAATAGTTTCTGTAGTTATGAAGCACATTTTTTATTTTACTAACATCCCTTTTAAGTTACAAAGAATGAGTATTTTCCTCTGCCTCTGTTTGCTTACTACTGATATGTGATGGCTACTAATTATATTTTGAGTGATTTGAACTCAGATTGTGTATTTTTTTTTTCTTATTCCATTTGAATCATTGTAAATGATTCCTTGAGCTTTAGTTGGAAAATGTTTCTTGGAAATTTAAATTTTATTTAACACTTAATTGTTTGAAGTGTTAAACTGAATTGAAATTATTCAGAATTGTCTATAATTTTCAGCTTTTGCCAGTGTGATCATAAGCACTTGTGGGTTCACAAAGTCCCAGGTGTAGTGTTTTGTCTTTTTAAAATCTGTTTAGCTAATGAATAAATCATAATTAGTAAGTTTCATTTAACATTGCTAAATGTTTTACTTCCAGAATAGCTTTAAGATCTCTGTTTAACTCTTCTCAATACAATCATATAACAGTTCTATTCCTATTTTGTATGTGAGGGAAATCTAGTAAAAATAAATTAGACTTTCTTTAACTCAGAAAGTTAATAGTTTAATACCAGATGTTGTGATTTTAAAATTCTGTAATTAAACTTGGAAACCTGATACTAAAATAGGAGGTCACTGTTGTATATCTTACAAGAGCAAATATGAGGCCATTTTGTTGGGAGACTGAACTTACAAGTAAGGCTTTTGTGACAGAACACAGCACAGTAAGGAGTTATTAGTCATTGGTTTTACCTGTGAGTGAACAGCTTTTCCTCTTCTCAGGTAATGTAGCCCTGTTGAACAACCTACACAGGGCATGAGTAAGAACTAGTCATTGTTAGCAACATGGAAATTTGACATCCATAAAATATGAATTTGAACTTTGAACTGAACTAGTGAATTCTTTTTTTTTTTTAAAAAAAAAGTATTTTTCTCCTAAAGAACAGATGTAATAAAACTGTCAAAGGAATGACCAGCTCATGTGAGGTTTTTTTTTTTTTTTGTTGTTGTTGTTTTGTTTTGTTTTTTTTTTTTTTTTTTTGTTTTTTTGTCATGTTTTGTTCGGAGTGAAATTTATTAAGAAGGTAGAGCACAAATAAAAATAAAAACATCTAAATGTCACATTTTGAAAAAAATGTTATGAGACCAATCACTTCTTCCTTTGGTTCAGGAACCTATTAGAGGAAATGAGGGGAGAGTCCCTGCCAGTGCTTCATTTGCTTTTGGGTTTGGGGTTAATCTCTCCATTCACAGGCTTATGGTCAGTATTTCACAATGAGTTCAGCTTGACCAGCAGGATGTTTGTGATGCCCCACCCCTAGGCAGGGAGGGAGCAGTGTGCATCATGATCCATGTGTGTTTCTGATGTCTGACTCGTGATAAAAGGGTATTCATAACAGCAGCCTCCAACTTTTACCACCATTCACTTTTCATGGGCCTTGAAACCTGTATTGCTATTGAACTGGGACAAACATCCTCATTTTAAGAGTTACATATGTAGCAGTAGACATGTTGGAGTCAACACCAACTAAAACTAATGAGTGGAGCTTGCAATGGAATTAATTAAGTGGGCCTAAACATAGGAGCCTATACCCATAGCACACAATGCCCTGGGATGGTAATACTCCATGATTGCAGCCTTCTTAAGTGCACATCCTATAGCTCTGGCATCTCCAATATCCTAGGATCATCCATTTCTTGTCTTCACACATTGCCCTTGGATGGCCTTATTGCAAGGACCCTGCCATGTAGTCTTTGAAACCATAATGTAAGACCACGGATCCTTTCAATTCTTCATCTTCTATACTTATAAAACTAGCACAAGTGGATGCAGATGCTTTAGTCAGTTTCTGCTAACTCAGATGGGGTCTACCCTCTGCAGATTCCAGTTGCACAGCTTTCCTGCTGTACCATAGTAGTGTCAAGTATGCCTTTAATGACACTGCTTTTTAACATTGCTTTGCCTATAAAGTTAAATTTACACCCTTTCCTTTGATAAACTTCATACTTGCTATTTGTAGACCTAGATCAGAAAAAGCAGTAGTCATGTCACAATTTGAATACTATTCTGTCTTGAAATTTATTCCACCAAAATAATTAGTTCATTACTGTGTATTCCTGTATTCATCTTCATTCAAGTTCTTAGGATCTTGGCAGAACGCAGCTTTTTTTGTTTTTTGTTTTGTTGTTGTTTTGGGTTTTTTGGTTGGGGGCGTGATGTAGAGGGGGAGACACGGTAGCACACAAATGGCCTTCTTCCAATTTAAGACGAACCTTGATGAGCTGTATCTCTACTGTCTATGTTTCTCTTAGGGTTTTTATCTTCTAAACTTGCATGAGAGTAGGCCATTAAGTTCCGATTACAGTATAGGAGGACATTTCTAGTCCAGATCTCCAAACTTCTGAATCCTTCCCAAATATCCAGTTCATGGTCACTTTTATCACAGCTGTGTCTATACTTTAATGTCAGTATTCTCAGTTTTCTTCTTGTTACCAACAACTTAGGAAGGGTTTATTTTGGCCTACACTACTAGGAGATGCACTCTGTTATGACAGGGAAAATTCACTCAGCAAGAGAGGTGAGCAGCTGGTCACACAGTATACACAGTCAAGCTGCAGACTAAAAGGGATTGGGACCAGCCTGTAAAAGGTCAAGGACGGTCCCCAGTGACCCACTTCCTCCTGCCAATGTCTGCTTTTCCTAAAAGTGCCACCAGAACAGGTGTGAAAAGTGAGCCTGTATTTAAACCACAGCAGCCTACTTGAAATTCTTCTAAAAGTCCCACCCACCACCCACCCCTCCCCCCCTTGCAGGTAGTAAACATTAAGTTCTCTTTTTTAGATGCACAAATATTTAAAACTGAGCCCTTTTTATACCTTGAGTAGGAAGTCTCCTAAAAACGTCTTTGCTGCATTGAATTAATCTCTGTGTTGATACATTTAAAAGAAACCATTGTAAAGGTTAAGTGCTTGATAGCATTAAAAGCTAGGATGGCCAGATATTCATTTTTTACTCCTGGAATATATATGTCACCAGTCATCAAACAGTGTTAGGACTCTGTAGAAAACAATACAATGTGTTTAATTATAAAAAGGACTGGGTTTTATGATCAAAGGCAGAACAGTTTCATGATGGCCATCTAATGGGGCAACCAGTAGTTCTGTGCTCCAGGATCCCATAGCTGAGGAAGAGAAGCCAATGATACATCCCTAGCCTGAGGCTACAGGTTTAGAAACTCCTGGAGAATTGCTAGTATGAAACCACATTCACACACTGAGGAAATTGGACATTGATGTTTTGATGGCTAATCTTTGTAACACAAAT